TCTGGTACTCGTTAGAGAAAGACAGAGAGAGGAAAAGTGAGAAATCACTTAAAGGGGATGGCCATACTGCAATCCCTTCTTCTCCATTATTCTCTTGGGATTTGGGGCATGCACGCTCACACACCCAGCATGATTTTCAAACCACCAGGTCTGGGACTCGAATCATGGTTGGCCATGTGGGAATCCAGGTCGCTAACCACCACACCACCTGCTGATCCCTATAACCCCATTTCTAATCAACAGGAAACCTCAGAGAAACCCAGTTAAAAGACATCCTAAAAAATAACTGGCCACTACTCTTCAAAAGTCTCGAGCCATAGAAGAAAAATAATAAATAAATAAAAAGATTGAGGAGTTGTTGCAGGTTGGAAGAAAACAGAGACGTGACAGCTAAGTGCAACGTTGTGGATCGGATCCTGGGACAGAAAAGGAACATGAGTGAAAACCTGCAGAAACCTGAGGTTCATTTCCTAGTTTTGACAAACACAACACAGCTATGCAAGAGGGCCAGAGCAGGTGAGCGGGGGGACATGGGCACTCTCGGTACTGGCTTCACAACACTTCTGTAACTCTACAATTATTTCTAACAAAGGCAGTTACATACTTGTCAAAGACCGTTAGCAGTCTTTAGAGGGGTCACCATATAAATGTATACAGGCAGGTCTACTTTCTATCTTCTATATTGCTGAGTGTAGCCTTTTTTCTCCTTAAAAAGTAGCATTTGTAATGAAAAATAATTACATTTGGATTAGTTTAATCTTTATTTGTTTAGTTATTTATCCCATGAGACAGAAAGAGCAAGAGGAGCTGACAGGGTCCTCACACCACGATCCTCCCCGGTCTCACCATCCCGGACCACAGGCACACTCATGCCCAACCTGCACAGGGAGGTCCTGGGATGTGAACCCAGGACCTTTTCATGTGGAAACAGTTGCATTAGCATTGTACCCCTGCCTGCTTCTTCCATTTGGATTTTTAAAGAGTCCCTTTGAGAGCTAAGTATGGAGAAAAGGTGGCCCCCAAAGCTGACCTGAGAAGACAGAATGCCTTTGCTGAGGGACAAAGCACAAAGAACTCTCAGCAGGGTTCGAGTCAGTCAAGTGCTGTCTGGACCCTGAAGTGTATTTAAGGCCCAAGAGACAATAACAACAGAGAATACGGAGACTCACCAGGGTGACTTTCCTTTGTGGTTTCAGCAGCTTCGGTTTATGGAACGGAGTGACTATCGGAGCTGTGGAAGTAGGTCGAAGTTTTAGTTTGCAATTCTTCCCAAGACTTATGTTTTTAAGAACTACTTTATTTATTTTATGTATCATTATTATTTTTTAATTTGAGCGGGGTAGGGAGGATTAGAGAAAGCAAGCCACCAAGTCCAGGACCCAAACCACAGCTGGCCATGTGGGAGTCCAGTGCCTCAACCACTGTGCCACCTGCTGGCCCCCTTCCCAGGACTCTTAAAGCCCAAATGCCATTGAGCATCACGGACACTGTCTACAGACCTAGGTCTCCACGAGCACCTGTCGGGGGGTGGGGTAAAGCTCCTCTAATCTTTGAACACATCATGGTTTCCTCTCTGCAAGGTCAGCAAAGCAGCTCTTCGTGAAACGCTGCTGGCCACAACGTGGTGAGGTGTGCGGTGAGAACCAGCTGGGCTTGGTCAGCTTGAGGCTGGGACCTGCACTGGGAAATGCTGTCCTGCCCACACCCCAACACTGATAGCATGATCTTGGATCCTTGCAGCAGCCCTCTGAGGTCTTCAGGGAGGGATGTTCTTCCCTGACTTAACAGAGAAGGAATCTGAGGTTCTCACCCAATGCCATGCAACTATTTGGAACGAATTGGGCCTTGGACTTGGTACTGAGCACCAGGCTCAACTGCTTAGCTCCCTAAGTCTCGATTTCACCTCTCGTAAGGGAGGGTAACATCCCTTCAGGAATGGCTGAGAGGACATAGCCATGCAATGCCTGGCCCGGAGCAGGTATTCTCCGCTCCCTCCAGTCCCAGATCCGCCCTCCTCAGGCCTCCCCGTTCCACCAGGCCCCATAGCCCCTCTCTCCACGCAGTTCACGTTCAGCCTGACCACCACCCGCTTTCATCCCAGGGCTTGAAGGGCCCCCTGAGACACACTGTGAAGACCAGGTGAGCAATACATTGTATCTTGTCTTACTAAATTGTTCACTTGGACAGTCCTTGTGTTCTCAACTATATTCCAAATTTGTTCAGGTGTGAACGTCTCCTAAATGGGCCCGGTATTTAGGAACTACCTACAGCCAGTCTTGGCTCTCCTAAGTTCTTTCCTCCAGAAACACCCATCTTTCTCACTTAGGTTGTTCAAAATTATAACTTCAATGACAGAATAATCCTCAGTTTATCCCCAGGACAAATATGAAATACATTACATAGCTGGCTGACAGCTTTTTAGAAATCAGAGCACATTCCTTCCCTTGAATGGACCAAGAAGTCGCTGACGCCCCCTCGCCTCACCTTCCCATGTACAGAGCATTGTCCCTGTTTAAGGTGACAGTGCCATGTGAAATCACCCGTGGATGAAAGTCCTCCCTTGGCCAAGGTTCACTGGGTCCTTGGCCCAACCCCAGGGCAGGGCTGAGGGCTGAGATAGTCAAGCACCACTTACACCTAGAATTCAGGAGGATTCTCCAGGCCACAGCCACGGAATGTCGTGTCCTCGCCTGCCGACTCCCCGTACTGGGCCCGCACAGCATCCCAGACCTATCACGGAGGTGTCCCTGCAGGAGACCGCACGCCAGCATCTTACCTTTGGCCGGGACGGCAGGAGGAAGCTCAGCCTTTTCCTTCCGCCTCTTCCCTTTCTTGGGCTGCAGTGGGGCCAAGCTGGTCACACTGGTGACAGTCTCCCCTGAGCTGAGAAAGAAGAAGTTCCCAGTGACGCTGAAGGCAAGTTTGTTGTGAAGGGGAGCGGGACCCACAGTTTCCGAGAGCTCCCTGGGCAGCTGTGCACAGCTATCTCACAGCGGGACTGGGGTCACTCCAAGCTTGTCTCCAGGGATGTCTGGGAGTCTGGTACTGACCCTTGACCAAGCTAGGTATGATAAAATGGGCTAGGTGGTGAATTTTAACATGCTATTTAAAGTTCAAAATTCTCTAGAAGGAGCCAGGGCCTGCTCGTGAACATTGTTTGAGAATGTAATAGCTTACACCTGGTTTAACTGAGCAGTCTAGCTCAGCTACTTCACCAGCAGAGCTTTAAAAATATCACTAGCTGGGGAACCAGCAGTTAGCGTAATGGCTATGTCACCGGACTCCCACGTAGTCGACTGCGGTTCGTGTCCCGGACCCAGTGGCTTAAAACTCACGCCGGGTGCGTGTGCGTGCGTGCCCAAGATCCCGAGAGGAGAATGGAGGAGAAGGGATTGCGGCGTGACCATCCCCCCTGGGGGGTGATTTCTCGCTTTCTGTCTAAGTCTCTCTCTGTCTGTCTGGCGAGCGCACACGCCCTACAGTGAAAATCTCTCCAAAAAAAAAATATATATATCACTAGCTGGACCAGCAATTAGCGTAATGGCTATGTCGCTGGACTCCCATGTAGTCGACCGCAGTTCGAGTCCCAGACCTGGTGGCTGAAGCTCATGCCAGACATGTGTGCGTGCGTGCTCAAGATCCCAGGAGGAGGATGGAGGAGAAGGGATACTGGCGTGGCCATCCCCCCTGGGGGGTGATTTATCGCTTTCTGCCTGTCCCTCTCTGTCTCTCTGTTTTTCTGGCAAGCGCATGTGCCCTATAGCAAAAAACCTCTCCAAAAAAATATGTATCACTAGTGGGTCCAGTAGATAGTGTAATGGTTACATCGCTGGACTCCCAGGGTAGAACGCAGTTCAAGTACCAGACCCGGTGGCTTAAAACTTGCCACCAGGTGCATGTGCATGTGTGCCCAACATCCCAAGAGGAGAGGAAGATTGGTGTGAGGAACGGTCAGATGAGAAACTATGAGTGGGAATTTGAAGTAAAACGGAATCAGGATAATTACTCTGGGGAAAGTGACTGACTCCTTGGTTGTAGCGAGGAATGATTTGCACACGCTTGTGTCCTGTACCCTTAACTACTGAGCTGAACACGCAGAGCTTTTCCAGGCAGCGGATGATGCTTGCTGATCGTCTCTCTATAACCTGGTTACAGGTGCTCTGACGGGAAGCCTGCTCTTGCTAGGAGTGGGAGAAGGTCTACCAACGTCCTTGAATGGCCATCGATCTTACTTCAAATGCTTCCTATTGGCTCCAGCAACCCCTTACAGAATGGCTTGTCCTCAGGCACATGTTCCAGCCAAGTAGGTATGAACTGTCCCATCACCCAAATGAACAAAGGCTGTAAACTGGTAGTTTTTCCATCAGAGGAAAGTCTCATTAACATGGGAACACATGGTCAAGTTCCTCAGGAGGGAGGAGTCCACGTCAGACTGCACCAACTCCACACGCCTGAACGACAACCAACTCTGAAGCAAAGCACCCTTGTGGCGAGAGTGTGGGCCAGCTGGACACTGAGCACTACTCGGATTGCTGGTGCAGACTAGGCACCCATCCCTAATCCAAAAACCCAAAATCTGAAATGTTCCAAAGTTTGAAAGTTTTGAGCATCATTATGATGCCAAAGTAGAAAATTCCACAACCGGGACCAGCAGTTAGCGTAATGGCTGTGTCGCTGGACTCCCATGTAGTCGACCACGGTTCGCGTTCCAGACCCGGTGGCTTAAAACTCACCCCAGGCATGTGTGCGTGCGTGCCCAAGATCCCTAGAGAAGAATGGAGGAGAAGGGATTGCGGTATAGCCATCCCCCTTGGGGGGTGATTTCTTGCTTTCTGTCTCTCTCTCTCTGTCTGTCCGGGGAGCACATGCACCCTATAGCAAATACCTCTCCAAAAAAAAAGAAAATTCCACAACCAACTTCACTGACAGGGTGTTCTCAAAACACTGTAAAACAAAAATATTGCATGAAATTGTCTTCACGCTATATGTGTAAGGTATATATGAAACAGAAATGAATTCCATGCTTCGACTTGAATTCCATGTTTTGACTTGCCCAAGGTAACTAATGAGATATATACTAATATTTCAAAATCTGGAAAAAAAACCCCACTTCTTGTTCCAGTCACTTCAGATGGGGGCTATTTATCCTCTAATATAATAGACTTTCCTGATTAAATTAACTTAGTAACATCTAACAAAATTATAGATGCTTAGAATGAATACTGCTTCCATGGAATAGGTATTTCTCCACACTATCTTGTTTTATTTACTGCTATGAAACAGGCATTCATTCTATAGATACCCTTGCACATTTATGAAGTGATATATGTGTAACATTACTCACTACACTGCTATTTGTAATATTAACATTAGCAGCTGAGATACAACCCATCAGCAGGGTACTGGTTGAGTAGAATATGAGGACACAACATCTGGGCCTTCTGTAGTTGTAAAGAGAGTGAAGAGTCCATTTACAGGGACCAGCAGGTGGCATAGTGGTTAAGGCATTAGACTCCCATATGGCTGACTGCAGTTCAAGTCCAAGACCCAGTGGCTTGAAACTCATGCAGGGCACATGTACCTGCCTAAAGTTCTGGTTTCTCACTTTCCCTCTTTCTGTCTTTCTCTGTCTCTCTCCAGTGAACACATATGCCCTAAGGAAAACATAGACAATAAAAATTATCTGCTGGTAAGGAAAGACACATTGTTAAGTGAAAAAACTAGGTGTTGGACAATATATCAAATACCACTTTCTGAACAAAATTAGAAAATATGAATACATATTAGTATTTGCTTACACATGCGTAGAGACACTCTAGAAATAGTTGCAAAAAATTAAAAATAGTGGTACCCTAAAACAGGGGTATTGAGGAACGAAATAGATGGAAGACAGGACAGAGAAAATTATTACTGGATATGCCTATAATTAATGCAAATAAATATGTACATATATTTAATAAGTGATAGACTATTCTAAATATTTTAAAATAAACAAAGTCCTAAATATTTTAAAATAAACAAAGACTGAATCATACATTGTGGGTAAAATTCCAAGACTATATAGTTCCCACCAAGATTTGCCAGAAATTGTTTATTTTTACTGGAGACAGAAATTTTAGCTGGTTATAGCTTTAAGTTACAGGGTCAACTGTGTGAATTCACAAATAGCCAAAAGGAGTTTAAGTTTGCAAAACTGACTGCTAAGAACACACAAGAGATGAGAAAATCAGAACTACGTAAACATACAACCACATGGACAGCTACATTCTGTGGCTTTTAAACTCTTGGAATGTTTACTTTTCTCTTTCCATTACAAAATAATGTATAGCTTTTTAAAAACGGTAATTACATGCATGAAGACCAAAATATGAAAATAAGTTTATCATAACCAAAATACAATCTCTGTGAATATTTCCATTCTTTTTCCTCCTCTTTGCTTTTTTTAAAATAGACTTTAAAAAATATGTATTTTCTTATTTACATGTGGGGGGTGGAGGGGAGAGGTCAACAAGTAATTTAATAGCCTATGTTTAGAGCATTTTTAAGTTCATAGCAAAGCTAAGTGGAAGGTTTAGAGACTTCCTATGTATCTCCTCCCCACACACATGCATAGACTTCTCATGATCAACATTCCCGACAGAGGGGCACATCTATTGTAAGTGATGAACTGACACGGACAAATTATCTCACCCCCAAGTCCACAGTTTTCAGCAGAGTTCACTCCACGTGTATCGGATTAGTTCAGACAAATGCGTCATCCTGGTATCACACCATGTTGTTCCCCTGCCCTAAAACCCTCTGTGCGCTATCGATTCCCTCCCTCGCCGCGAACCACGGGCACTCATCAATCTGTACTACCTCCAAAGTCCCGCCTTTTCCGGAACGTTATACAGCTGGAATTACGTAGTACGTAGTCTTTACAGACAGGCTTTGCCTGGTGTAAGCGTCTCCTCTCCGCCATGTCTTTTTATGCCTTGATAGCTTATTTCTTCTTAGTGCAGAATAATATTCCACTGTGTGGATATTCATTCATTCACCTACTGAAGACATTTTGGGTGATTCTGAGTTTGGGGGTTTTTTTTTGTTTGTTTCTTTCTTTTCTTTCCTTTTCTTGTCTTTTCTAATATACCAGAGAGAGAGCGAGGGAGAGAGGAGGCAAGTGAGAAAGCACCCTTCATGGGGGATGGTCATGCTGCAATCCACTCTCCTCCATCTCTCTCAGGATTTGCGCCATGCTTGCACAAGAACCAGGCATACTGCTCAAGCTGCTGGCTCTGAGACTCAAACTCACATTGGCCACGTGGGCTCCAGTCATCTTGACCACCATGCCACAGGCTGGCCCAGTCCTTGAGTTCTGGCAATTACGAGTAAAGATTTTGTAAACACCCATGTGCAGGTTTTTATGTAAATGTAAGTTTTCAGTTTATTCTGTTTTGCATATATTGTATGTTTTTTAAATTAAACCACATTATAGTTTTGCATCCTTCTTTTTACTTAATCCATATTTCCATGTTATAGTTTCATACTACCCCATTGAGAAAGTAAGCCATGGTTTACTATTTTGTTTTCCAGTTTGATACTTAGATAATACTGCTAAGACCATGTTTACGCATAATAGTTTCCATTCTTAGACTTTGATTTTAAGGTTGGTGCTTAGAGCTGAAATTTCGATGTTACCAAGGAAGACCATTTTAAAGGCTCTTTAATACCTGTTGTCAAAACGATTTCCAGCCATTTCGTACTACACAACTATCTGGTAATGAAGGAGAGTACCTATGTTATCATCCTCTAAAATGCCAAGTTTACCAATTTTTAAAAAATTATTCATTTAATGAAAAGAAATGTGGAATTTGGGCCAGCCAGTGATTTGATGGTTACGGTGC